TTTAACAATAGTTGCAGAACAATTAGGAAAAAATGTAATACATCTAGTTAATCGTCTTTTACGTGCTCACTACCACCATTCGATCTGTCGAGTGCGTATTTTAATAAAGTCATTATTCCTTTTCTTATTTCGGCAACTGTAATAGTCGCTTTATTTGACATGTTGCTCTCTATAAAAAAAGGTTTTGTGTGAGTAATTTGCATAAAATACATAAAAAAATAAATATAAAACAGCATCAAAGCAACGAACTCTGATTTTAAAAATATATAGTTTTACACTTGACTTAACAGTACAAATGTTTGTTCTTTCAAACTTTTCTTTATTCTTACCGCCAGCCATATTAAATTTTGATTATAAACCATTTGTCAACAACCTGTATTAAACATTGTTATTATTATTATTATTATTATTATTATTATTATTATTATTATTATATATATATATATATATATATATATATATATATATATATATATATATATATATATATATATATATATATATATATATATATATATATATATATATATATATATATATATATATATATATATGTATAATGATGTAATACTTTAATTGTTTTATTATCGTTTACCGTTAAATAGTTAATTTAGCGGTATATTTTAAGGAGTTTTAAGCAAAAAAAGCTTTAAAAAAAAAAGAATTCAAGTAAAACTAGACGAATACAATATGAAAATATATATATTTTTTAATTATTTGATAGACTGCCTGCCCAAACCAAACCCTCAGTTGATGTAGCAGCACTCCGTTGCGAGTCAGACTATTTGTCAGTCGATGTAGCAGCATTCCGTTGCGATTCAGGCTATAAGATAGTCGATGCAGCAACTCTTCGCGCATGTTTTACAGTTAAAAAATAAAAATTTTATTTTAAACAAAGCTTTAAAATAGATAATTAAGAATTGGAGATTTTTTATTATTTTTATCATAAAAATAATGGTCTTTAAAATATAATTTTTAGTTCGCAAAAAAGTTCGTATTTTACCGGTTCGCAGTTCTCGGTTTGCAGTTCGCATTTTACCGACAACCAAGGAATAGCGCATAACTTGACGTTTTGATGAAAAATGAAGTATTTTATAAAACTATTTAAAATAAATAAATACAACTATTTTATTCAAAATTTTTAATTAAAAAAAAAAAAAAATTATTTTTAGGGTAGATTTTTTTTCTCGGAGAGATTTTTTTCTCGGGGGGATTTTTTCTCGGGGGATTTTTTCCTGCTACCATTAACTGTTGTATGTAAATTTAAATTAAACAACAAGTTAGCTTAAAAATGTTAACAAAACCGTTTAAAAAAAATAAAAAATAACATAAAACAGCAGAAATATTAGGTATATTTGAAATATATTTTTAAAAAAATTTATTTTTCAAATGAAATCGTTATCAAATTAATCAAATTTTTTTTGTTTCCATTTGATTGAATTTTCGAAACTTTTCCAAAGGGAAATCTTGAACGGAATTCCATTTTCTTTTAAATGGAGTTTTATTCAATTACACGTTCAAAATTAGGCCAAAACAAAATTCTAGCCAAAAAAGGATAAAAATCTTTAACGAGTAAGACATTTTCATTCATTATTGCTTTCATTATTTCATTATATGCGAAAGTTTTTCATGAAATAGTTTTTATATATTTACATAATTTCGATATAACGACAGATTTTGTGCAGAAAACATATATTTTTAAAATACATGTTCAATTTTTTTAATTTTCTGACCGTTCTGAAGACCAATTTTTTGTTATAACTTTGTTTAGGGCAAAAAGTAGCAAAAGATTTAAGATGCATTATTTCCTTACATTGAAAAGTAGATTCATATAATCAAATGTTTGGAAGGTAAAAAAATTAAACGATATAATTAAAAATAATACTTAGTAAAATTTATTTGAAACAATAGTAGCGCAATAAAAATGATAATTACAAAAAGGCAACAGCGTTTTTAAACATAAATTAATAACCACATAAAAGAACATTTTAACTGGTATTTAATGTTTATTTATATTAATATTACCTCTAATAAACATCTCTAATAAACAAGCTTTCAGCATGTAATGTTGAAAATATTTTTTGGTTATTTTGACACAAACTGTTCCACTGGGTCACGTGGGTCTTGTTCCTTTAAATATTTCAGCTTTAGCGGAACGATTTCGACGATTGGAATTTATATATATAATTTTTTATTGTATATATATATATATATATATATATATATATATATATATATATATATATATATATATATATATATATATATATATATATATATATATATATATATATATATATATATATATATATATATATATGCTCATTATCAAACTAGTTAAAAAAAAATGATGTCTAATCATGATATAATATATATATATATATATATATATGTATATATATATATATATATATATATATATATATATATATATATATATATATATATATATATATATATATATATATATATATATGCTCATTATCAAACTAGTTAAAAAAAATGATGTCTAATCATGATATAATATATATATATATATATATATATATATATATATATATATATATATATATATATATGCACAATAGAAATAATTTAAAAGCCAGCATTTTCATATGTTATGAATAATATTTATTCAAGAAATAAATTTCTATTAAAAATCTAAACAAAACAAAAATCGCGACAGTACAATTTATTGTATTGTATTTACTTAATAAACTCTGTTTTTTTGTTGTTGTTCTTTAAAATAAATTATTATTATCAATTTTTTCATTTGTAATTAAAACTGCTTTACAATAATTAAACAAATTTTAGCTTGAATTTGCAAGAAGTTTTTTAAACATTTTTCCGGATTGCAATCATACGATTATTTTTTATATTACTGAACATAGTTTGAAAAAAAGAGCAACATCCGTTGCTCTTTTTTAGACGTTTTATGTTGAAACCTAAATAATAAAGCGATAATAGTTGCAATTTAACTCTTGAAAAAAAAAAAAAAAACTATTTGGAAGACAAAAAAATGTTCCGCCTCTATTGACACACAAAACATACATTATTCTAAAATAAAACATTTAATCTAAAATAGTCAGCATTTTAAATATTATAATTTGTAACAAAAAATATATTCTATTTTTCAAATTTAAGTCAAATTCGTAAAAATTTTCTAACAATATTATTAAACAGCATTTAACTACGATAGCTCTTAATTCATCAAATTGACGACGATAGCTCTTAATTCAAAATGATGGAAATTTTTTAGACTCAATAAACTTTTTAGTGTATAACTTTTACACGTTGCATTGGATGTTTGTTCTGGTGTAACACCAAGCGAAACCGTCTGCCTACCAAAATACTCCCTGAGATAGAACTTAATTAGGTGAAACTTCTATTAAAGTGAAATCTTCAAGTTTCATTATAAACAGCATTCAGAGACTTAATCAAATAGAAGCTAATCAGTATTAACTTGCTGAAAATAATAAGATACTTGTGTCTCTTCAAATTATTTAGACTGGTGGTCTCGTCAATTGTCTCCCATCTGTAGTAATCGAATTAAAAACGTTCTAAACATTTTTTTTTACTTATTTAGAGTTTCAAAACATTTCAGATATTGAGAATGGAGTCTCATTTCCTCCAAAGAACTTAAAACCTTGGCACAGTTTGGTGCCAAAGTTTTTTGATGGAATTTTTTCAGTTTCTTTGTGGGAATATTCAGAAAGATTAAGTTTGCAACTTTTTCTAGCAAAATACTTTATACAACAAATAGCACAATAACCGTTGTTAATATTTTGCTTCATTCTTCCAAAATCTTGGTGACAACTATTTAACGAGAACTTGTGTTTAAACTAAATCCAGGATCAATAAAGTCTTTGATCAGTTCCTGGCTGGAAACGAGCTAGCGACTAGCTATCTTTATAGCAATTTTCAAGCGATTTTTTTATTTTTATTTTATTTCTTCCTAATGTCTTTAACATCTTTAAAAATTCGATATTTATTGTTGAGTCTATTACAATTATGAAAATAATTAAACTTTAAACATTGCAATTTTGTAACAATGTGTCGCTAGCCACACATCGTAGCTTTGTAACTAGCTACAAAATATCTACAAATCTATAGCTGGTTGATAGCTACATATCACAAGTTTTTAGAAAGCAATTTTATTACGATATGACGCTAGCTACAATATCCAGTGCATTTTTAGCTTATTAAGCTAGTTATCCTCGTAGCCAAATCACTGTTTTTATTTTTACAAATATTGATAATTTATGTTAATCTATAAGGTGTCTTATAGGATAAAAATCCTATAACAGGATTGAAGATCTTGCTTTTTGCAAGTTTGTTTTTAAAAAATTAAATAATTGTTTAATACTTTCTACATTAGATTTTTTCAATTTTTTAAACCAGTTTTCTAAAAAATTGTTTTCTAAAAAACTGACGTAGTTTATTGAGATTAGTCAGAACTGTGATGTTTATTGACATCTGTCAAAATAATGACGTACTTTATGTTAATCTTTTATAATTACCCTCTAAATTGAAATGAAACTTTGGCATGAAACCAAAAACACATACTTTGCAAATTGGAAAATTTTCTCTCAAAAATCACCCCAAGTATCACCCTGGATTAGGAAAATTAGTTTTTTTTTCTTTTAATCATAAATACGATTAAAATAAATAATCAAATTTTATATTACATCAAATACATTTTTTGCTCTTAAAAGTTACGGCTATTTAAAGTTTAGAGCCCTAGAAAAAGAATCAAATAATAAAAAAAAAGACGCGGTTTTTAATACCTTTATCAGCGGTTTTTATCTTATGTCAACCTACTTGAAAGAGAGGCCTTAAAAACCCTGAATTAAAGATAACTTCAACTGAAAACATCTAAAAAGAAGCAGTGTGGTAGATATTTTTCATAAACTATTAATTATTTATTTTAAAATATAAAATAAGACTTGAGAAAAGCAAAACAATTGATTTGTAGTTATTATTCTTTTTATTTTATTTAGAAAATGGGTCATGTTCTTTGTTCCATTACAATTTTTATGTTCTTGCTCATTTCTTTAATAATGAGCGTGATTTCAATTCTAAGTAATCAGTGGTGGGTTGGAAAATTTAAAGCTGACGTTCCTCTCTCAAAATATGGTTGTTGTATGAACATTGAGTTTTCAGTAACGTACACTTTTACGGAATCGTGTTGGTTGATGACCATTACGAACGCGCCAAAGTTTAATATTACCACTTATTCTGTGGTTAAAAAATGCGAAGGAGAACAAACTTTATTAGAAAAATTAACAAAAAAGGGAAATTTGGATTGTAAGTAAACAACATTTTCTGTAAAATAAATAAAATATTGATTGATTTATTACAATCACACACACACACACACACACACACACACACACACACACACACACACACACACACACACACACACACACACACACACACACACACACTCACACTCACACTCACAAACACACACATACTCACACACACGCACGCGCACATAGGAAGACACGCGCACACACATATGTATAACAACATTTGTAAAATACATTTTTTAATAAATATTATTTATAGCCTTTATGCACACATATATTTGTATATTTGTTTCTTTGGTATTCAACGTAATGGCTATAACCTTCTCATTTTTGAAATATCCATTTGCTTGCAAAACAAGTCAACCTGGTTTTCACATTTCTACAATAGTGGCATTACTGTTCTCAGGTAACTATAACTCGATAGTAAGTGAATCACTGCACCTTTTTTGGTGTTTAAAGGCTGTCCATTAATTACGTCAACAATTTTTTGGCAATTTTTACCATCTCCCTTCCCCTTGTCAACAACTTTTTAAACTTCTAAGCATCTTGTGTGTATTTATTTAGTTATGCTTTTATCGAGTCTTTTTAAAGACCAACACGGTTTTTAAAAAGTAGGAACATAAATATCTTTATTAAAAACTGAAGATTGAGCGAGTGTGTAACACAGGACTGAAAACGCTGCCTAATTTTCCGTTTTTAAAGTAATTAAATTTATTCAAAAATGTAACATTGTTGATATCAAATTACCTTGATCTCCCTCTCCCCCTCTCCTTCGTCAAAAATTATTAAAAAAATCTGCTCCGCCTTCCGCACCATTTTGATGACGTAATTAATGGACAGCCCCTTAAGCAGGCCCACTGAGAGGGGAGGAACATAAGAGACAGTTTTCAGATTTCTGTGATAAGACCGTATAGACTTTTTGGGGCACCTAAATAAAAAATAAATAAATAAAAAAAACAAACTAATCGATAGTAAAACAAACACTTCAGAGTAGAAAGTTGTTGTAAAAAATGTTTGTTGCATTATTATTGGATTTTTTCGTTTTTGGCAACACAACTTTTTCTCTTTTTAATAAAGATTTTGATGCTGTTTAATTTAGTGCTAAAAAAATAAGATTCTATTCAAAACATTAATATGTTCCTGATATTTAAAGAATTTAAACATGTATAAGAATATAGTTTTTTCAATAAAATATATTTTGATATGTTCTTTTTAACTAACACAATGCTGAAACATTTAAAACTTGTTTTCTGTTTACTAAAGTAAGGTACTAACTTGTTTACTAAGATTTTCTAAGTATCTAAATATCTAAACCTAAATATCAAAGTTTTTTTTTTCATAACTTATTTTTCAAATTTATGATCAATTATTATATAGAGTATTGACTTTAAGGAAATTGTTTTTTTTTTTGCCATAAATTATAGTTATAACGGCAATTATACATATAAATATGCAGTAAAGAAGTAGGTATATGATATGAATGAATATTAACTTTTTATTGCGGGTGAAAAATAGCACGGCAGATTTTTTTTTTGTACTAACCGAAATTTTTCATTTTTTGCCTATAGCTTTAAACTTTGCAACAAATATTTTGAAAGATTTTAATACGTAACATTGATCATCGACCTGCTCTAGATTTGTTGTTACCTTACCTACAAAGCTACAATGTGTAGCTTTTAACATACGTTAATAAGACCATTAGATAAGAAGCTACAATAAATTTATTCTTTCTAATATATCTAAGCCAACATAAAAAACTGAATTTTTTAAGAGGTAAAAGACAAAATTAAACAAAAAGAGAAAAAAAATCGCTCAAAAATGCTTTAAAACTTGGAATTAAATAATATCTAGTCGTTAGCTCATTTACCACAGGAAAGATATTAAATAGATATTTATATAGACGGTCCTAATATTTGAATAAACGCGGCTAAGCACCAAAATATTTCTAGAATGTAATTGCAACTTACAATATTCAAAAATATAATTGCAAGAATTTCGAATTTGTAAAGTTTGAATATGATTGCACCCAAACAAAAAAGAAAATATGTTTTTCAAATATACTTACTCGGTGACTCTTAATAATACTAGTGTCAAATTTGATCGCTTTAATTTTGAATATGATTGCACCCAAAAAAAAAAAGAAAATATTTTTTTTAAATATACTTACTTGGTGACTCTTAATAATACTAGTGCTAAATTTGATCGCTTTATTCAATACTTGGCTTTTAAATGATTTCAATAGTATGCATAATTTCAAATTGAAAACGAATAATTTCAGCAGGTTTTAAATAAACTTTTTAATTTTGTTATGATTTTTATGTGAGGAGAGTAAAAAAATAAACTTTTTAAAATTTGAAAAACGCATGCATTATTTGAAATCTGCTGAAATAATTCGTTTTCAATTCGAAATTATGCATGCTATTGAAATCATTTAAAAGCCAAGTATTGTATAAAGAGATTAAATTTAGCACTAGTATTATTGAGAGTCACCAAGTAAGTATATTTGAAAAAATAATTTTTTCATTTTCAAATACTCTTTTTCTTTAAAATCAGCGATATTTCAATATACTATAACTAAAAAGGATTATGCGTTGCGCGTTGTTAAACTGTAAAAACAACAGTTAGCAGGAATGCGTTGAGCCGTTGATTGTAATGCATATAGTAACCGAACTTATGAGATAATATAAGGAATGTACCGGAATTCCGGCCATAGTTCGTGAATTTTAAATCATTCCGGTTCCGGCCAGAATTAAAAATTTTTAGGCCGGAAAACCGGAAATTATTTTAACCTTTATTTTATAAGACAAGTGACACAGAGTGTATAAATTAAATAAAAAAAATCATTATCCTACAGGGCAATGAAGAACTATAGGTAAACTTACAGAATTTTGTAAAAAATACAAAATTCTTACTAACACTATGTAATTTTATTTCCAGCGATCAATTATGTAAGCATTTTTAGAAGTTTCAGATTATTGTAGTACAAACAGATTTTTCTTTCAGTAAGAGGGCAATAAAGTCTTTTTTCATCAAAAATGTTACCTGTTTCTGAAAATAGTATAGTCTTTTAAATGTTACTTAAATTTTAAACAATTAAAAAGTATAGAATGCCTAATATAAAAGTATTTTAATTTTAAAATAAATAATATTTAATCTAATTAAAATAAATATTTAACCCCCCCCCCTTCATCCAATGCATTTTGCTATACGCTTTTTTGAGTACCCCTCACCTCCCTAAAAGTACCTACGCTTTTAACCTACCTCCCTAACATTTTATGATATTTTCTTTTATGATACTTTCTTTTTAGTGTCTCCTTACTTTTATAATTATTTCAGCCCTCCATCTCATACACACCATTTGAAAACCCCTCTTTCTATCAGACTGTTTGTACCATGGAGAATCCCTTAGCTTAATTACTGTTCCAGCTGGAATCCGGGCGAAATTTTCTTAACAATTCCGGCAAATCTGGTTCTGTCCGGAATTCAAAATTTCCGATCCGGTACATCCATTAAAAGTAGTAAAAATTTACCATAATAAAGTGATTAAAAATTTGATCCAATAAACAATTTAAGTAATTAATTATATAGTTATTAGATCAAACTTAAATTTATTAATAACATTATAATTTATTTGATCAAATAATTTTTAAAGTCATAATTTGTTTTCCTAAATTAGTTGTATATTAGTCATTTTTTATAACCAAAAAGAAGTTCTAGACATTGCTGGTTCTTCTAAAAACAACACAAAAATTAACTTTTTGTGGTCATCTTTAAAACTTTTTATATCTTTTAATTATAATATTTTTTATTTTTAACCAGCCAAATTTTAATCATTTTTGCGTTCAAAACTATGTGGAGCGAAATACTTATATATATAAGTTTTAAAATAAATAAAAACTTATATATAATAAAATTACATATAAGTTTTTATTTATTTTAAAACTTCCTTATAATAATATATAACTATATTAATTTTTTTATTGTATTTTTTTTTCTAGCATTTACAAGCATGATTGCAGTATTTGTTTTTACTAAAAATGTCTATTACAAAGCACCCTTCATGCAAGCCATAAAGTTTGACGCTCCAGTAATCGCAAAAGATCTTCCAGAGTCAATCAGTAAACTTGTCTTGAAGATATTTAGCAAAGTAAAAACGTCTGATTTATCGAAAAACTTTTCTAAAGGACATTCTTATACAATTTTATGCGTTGGAACTTGCTTTTTATTTGTCAGTTTATTACTTTGTGGAGCAGAGTTCTGTTTGATGCGTCAAGTGTGTTCGAACCGTTTTAGTAAACCTATGTTAATCAAAGCGAAGAGGATATGCAAAAAGAATAACTTATTGATTACGCACTCAGTTTAATTTGCTTAAACAGTCAAAATTTAATCACTATTAAATACTGTTAACCAAAACATCTCAGGGGCCAAGGAATATGGTTTTTGTTGACAAATCCGCAATTTAAGTGACATAGTCAGTGCAAAGTAAACTCACGAACTCGAAAAATGTGTTAGAGTGTTATAAAAAATCAAGTTAAAGATTTTTCTCTTCAGAAAAGTTTATTTTTTGATGTTGTTAGATTAAATTAAATAAAACTTAGAGTAGAGACCGTTCTGTTAATAGAGTGAAGAAAAAAAAAGTCCTATTAATTAAATGCTGCTTTTTTAAATTTTAAGTTATTTTGTTTACTTATTTATTATGTAATTCCATTTTGTATTTATTTTGATTATTTATTATAGTTTTAAACAGTAACTGATTATTTTATTTATTTTAAATCTCGTTATTTTTTGTGGCCATTGCTTTATTTTTTGCTTTGTTGCATGCTGTTTTTGACATAAGTGATCCGGAATGACAAAATATGCCCGGTGGGAAATTGGCTAAAGAATAGTTAGCTATAATCGTAACGATAAAGACAGCGATTTGGCCACGAGGATCGTTGTCTTTTATAATTAGCGAAAAGCTATCGATATTTTTAAAGATAAAGACAGACATTTGGTTAAGAGGACAACCAGCTTAATAAGCTAAAGATCCACTGGTTATTTTAGCTAGCGTCATATCGTAAAAAAGTCGTTGTTTAAAAAAATTTGATATGTAGCTATCAACTAGCTAAAGATTTGTAGATATTTTGTAGCTAGCTAGCTACAAAGCTCGATATCTAGCTAGCGACACATTGCTACAAAATCGCAATGTTTAAAGTTCGATTACCCTCATAATTATAATAGACTTAACACTAAAAATCGAATTTTTAAAGATGTTAAAGACATTAGGAAATAATAAAATAGGAAAAAAAAATTGCTAGAAAATAAAAAATCGTTATAAAGCTAGCTAGTCGCTAGCTCGTTTCCCACCGGGTGGCGATACTTCGTCGTTAACAACTTAATTTATATGGGTTAAATTGCTATAAAAATCAAATTATTAATAGATTCAGCGCATTCTTAGAACTTCAAAACAATTTAACATTTTATAAAAACTACGTAAACAGTAGTTTACATTGCAAGTTGATTTTTCTATTAGTATTTTTATGGTTTTTATAGCAGTTAAATTAAATTAAATAATAAATTAAATTGAATAATTTTTCAATAAAGTGTGTTGTTAAAACTTAAAAACACAGAGACACAAATGCTTTTTATTGTTGCATATAAGATATTTTAACTGATACTCTTGTATTTCTTAAAGTTTCTGGTTTTATGCTCCATTTTTGTTGACACGTTCTAGTTTTTATTGCAATATGGTTTTATCAATTTTTTTATAAAATAGTGGTCAAGATGACTATTTTATTCTATAAAATAGTCATCTTGACCACCCAGCAGGTATTTAGTCTAAAAAAAAAACGTTTTTTGAAAGTTAAGAAAACGTTTAAAAATAGACTTAGATTTGTTTAGAAACTTAGTTTAGAACGCTGAAAAGACGTTTAAAAGACGTCTTTTTAGGACCAAATGCGACCTCTTGATCTTATTTATCAAGTTGTAGCGACCCCAACAATAAAATGAATAAGGTTGCTCCTAAATCACTGCATTTTTTTTCAATCACTAAATTTTTGCAGTTATTATACCTTCCAACTTCTAGATATCTGATTTTATTTATATTTTACTTTACAGGCACCATAATTGTTTGTTACAAATTTTTTTCATAATTAATTTATAATTTAATAAGATATATATTTTGTTAATATTTTCAAAGGAGAAAAATCTTTACATTGTAAACATTTTATCAAGTCTTAAATCATATTTTATCATATTTTTTGATTCTTAATTTATAACGCTCATTGCATAATTATTAAAAAATTGTAAACTTAATAATGTTAATTATTAACAGTATTGTGTGCATAGTACAATGTACATTATACAATTGCAAGTCACGCACAATCGAATATTAATTTTAAAGTTGAGGTTATAATTTATAAACAAGTAAGTACACTGTAATAAATTTAGTCAGATGAGGGGTATCGTTTAAATTTAAAATGATGAAAAGAAACTATATACTGTAGTAAAATAAGTTCTTTTCAGAAGGTAGAATGGCGACTTCTTTCAAATAGTCAGGCGACCTCCGCGGGGGTCGCAAACCACTGTTTGGGAACGGCTGTTTTAAAGCATACCAAATTACTCAATATCAATTAAAAATACAAGCATTACTAAATGATTTTCAAAAATGCCTTTTACTAAATCGAAAAACAAATTGTTAACTTAATTTTTTTGAACAAAAAAAAAATCAGAGCATAAAGATATAAATTACCAATGTGGTGACTATGAAAAAATAAACCTTGGTTTTAGTTTAATAAATTGGTACGAATTATTCAAGGATTTAAACGTGGACCACTTTTACTGTGCTTTCGTACAAAAAATATAATTAAACGAGTGAACTAAATATTCCAAAGGGTATGATAGGCCAGGTATGATCAAAAAGTTAAAAAAGACCAATGCATAACAGACGAGGTTTTATTAAAACTTTAATACGTAAAAAGAAAAATATTTGAAACCAATTAAGAGCTGGTAAACTCAAATATCTGAATATATTAAACGAATACAAAACGGTAAAAAAGTTAGTCAAAACCAAGTTAAAAGAAACCACTATTGATTATGAGAAAAAGTTTATAAGTAATGCAAAAATAAGATCTTATATTACTCTAAAAGTATGCAAATAAGGACCAAAAAAACATTGGTGAAATACAATCAATGAAAAACCACGTAAAGGTACTTGCAAAGGTTCTCACATCTCACAGGAATGAGATTGAAAACAAAAGTTTTCAATCGGTTCTTGTAAAGATCGTTGTGAAATTCCGGAGTTTGAACCAACCATTACAAATTCTTTTAAATGATATTGGATTAATGTCGTTACAAATGAGGCAGTTTAGAAAAAACTGAATTTTCGGGACGTTAACAAAGTATGCGGCAGTGATGTTATTAGTCCTTGCGTACTTAAAAATTTTTCAAGTAGTGTCACGACTCCATTAGCTTTAATTTTACGAAATTGAAACAGGAAAAGCTTCTAGCAAATGGAAAGAAGCAAATATAATGCCAATATTAAAGAATGGAAATACAGCAGAACCGCCTGACCCGTATCATTAACTTCTATAACATGCAAAGTCATGGAAGTATTTCTAAGAAAAGCTATAATGACTCATCTCTTGGAAAATATATTGCTGTCAAAAAATCAACATGGCTTTATAAAAAAAAAAAAGCTTGTGTAAAAATCTTTACTAGAAATATTAGACATTTTAACAACAAGCATGAGTGATAATTTAGCGGTAGATATGACTTGTATGGATTTTGCCAAAGCCTTTGATAAAGTTCCACACAAACAACTGTTGGAAAAGTGCAAAGCTTATAATATCAAGGATGTACTGCTTGGCTGGATATTGTCTTTTTTAAAGAAAAAAGGCAAAAAGGTTGTGATGGGTGAAAACGTATCACCGTGGTTTGAAATTTTTAGTGGTGTGCCTCGGGGTTCGGTGCTTAGCCCCTTGTTATTCTCAATATTTGTAAACAATCTATCATCAATTGTTAATTCGAATTGAAAATTATACGCAGATGACAGTTACTAATCACAGTCATAAAAAAAGTTGAAAATTACGAGTCTTTGCAGAATGACAATGAATTTGTAATATCTGGTTAAACGTTTAGAAGTTAAACTTTTATAAGTGCAAAGTGATGCATGTAGGTAAAATGAATCCACAAATAAGCTATAGTATGAACCACCAACCTAGCATGTTAGAGCATGCAAAACGTGAGAACAATATTGCGCGTTGCGTTGATCCTACATCGACCGCCAATGTTGTTTTTTTATCATTTTGGTTACAAATGCGACGTCGGCAACCAAAAAACAACGTTGGCCCAACGTTTTAATTTAAGTCAGAATTGCGTCATATTTTACGTTAATTCAACGTTGCATTTTACATTGGCCAAACGTTGTATTTTAAGTAGGCAAAACGTTGTATTTAAAGGTGATTCACGTTATACTTATCATTTGTACAACGTTATATTTAGCTTTTATTGGAATTAAATTTATTTATTTTACATTTTAGTTTTTTTACATTTTAGATTTAAGCATAAAATATTCTATATTTATACGCATATACAACTGTATATATATGTTTTTATTCATATATTATACATATATTTCCAAAATCAACTGGATTGTTCAGTTGATTTTGGAAATATGTTTGCAAAATATATTTCCAAAATCAACTGAAATAATTGAATAAAAATAATTTTTATAAATTATATGAATATATATTTGTATATATGCCTTTTCTCGATGCAAATACAACGTTGATCGACTGTATATATTCCAACATTATCTTAATGTATATGGATCAACGTTAATCTAATGTATGTAATCCAAGGTTATACACATCGGATAAATGTAAACATTGGATCAACGTTAATCCATTCACATTGGATCAATGTTGAGTTATACACATTTGATCAACGTTGATCTCTATACATTGGATCAACGTTGGGTTTAGATTGGAAAAACAACCAACTTTTGCGATGTTTTTACACACGTTTGACCATTATAATTTTGCTAACTATTTTTAATCAAGTTATCATTAAGGTTTTCATTAACATAAATACGATAAAACTTACATCGAACCAACGTTATACATGTATCAGAGAAAACAGCCGACATTCGGGATGTATTTACATACGACTTCAACAAGGCAAAAGCTCAAAGAACTTTGGGTCTAATTAATCATACATTTACATACTTAGATGTGGAAACGGTGAAACCACTATATACAACATTTGTGAGACCACTTCTTCAGTTCGCTGTACCTGCATTGACGCTTTATTTACAATGGGATATTGATAAGTTAGAAAAAGTGCAGAGAAGAGCAACAAAGTTAGTCCAACAACTTAAAAAGATTTAAAAAAATGACTTAAAAAAAGATGCGTTCAATTACATTAAAGAAAAGAAGAGCAAGAGGGAATTTTATACAACAATACAGGTTTAAGCAAAATATAGACCGAATAAGTTGGTACAAAAATCCACAATCGGCATCATCCTTGACTCGTTCAGGCCAGGCTTCTTCGGTACAGGGAAACTAATACAGGTTAGAAAGAGAATACATATCATCATGCTTAAAGAGATCTTATTTCTTCACCAACGAGTTTGTAATAATTGAATTTGTTACTAAATGAAATCATAAAAGCAAGATCGTTGAATGTTTTCAAATCGCAAATAGATAAATTTTATTCATTACTGGTGTTTTAAATTGTGTAGGCTGTCTATAACATGATGCTAGCATCGTTTTCCACTATTTATTTTATTTTTAAATTTTTTATTATATTTAGAAAGATTTTAAATGCTACAGCAGTAAATATTTCTATAACTGTTAGTTACAAATAATTATAGTAATAATTACTACAAAACTCTTTGCAAGAAAAATCTGATAGTTTGAATTCTGCACGTTAAAATTATATAAGAACAAATGTAAAAGTTAAGCAATTTTTTTTGACCTGTGTGCTTATTATGGTCTTAGAATATCTTAACAAATAATGTGGGTCATCAAAAGTAGTTTTTTTTTTTTTAAATTTAACTAAGTAATGTAGATAATGAAAATATCTTCACCAATATTAACTAAAATGCTCTGCCTTTTGCAATTATTATAGTGGTTTTAATTACTCTGCAATACAATAACTATAGTTATTGTATACTTTTATACTTAGTAATTATATACTTAATGTACTTAGTAAGTATATAACTAATTACTAAGTATATAATATACTTAATAAGTATTTAACTTAGTAAGCTATAATAAAAAGTTCGTAGCCTATATTAAAAAATTTTTTTATCTGCATTTTAAATGTTTTAGTTTTTATTTTATTTAGAAATTATTGTTTTATTTTTTTTTCAATGCAATTTAATTAGCAGTTTTTTGTATTATTTAAAAATAATTAATTATACAAGTTTTTGGGTACAAAAAAGTATTCATAACAAAAATAATTTATGCTTTAGTTTAGGTACAAGAATTTTAAGGTTAATAACCGCAACAAAAAAAAAGTATTAAAAAAAAAATCAATAACAATGTTTATTTTTTTTCTCTTAATAAACTGTTAGTTCATAACTTTTTCAAATAACTTTTAATCATGTTGTAGAGAATAATACGTTGTGAGAGAAATAGAAATTAAAACTTTTATAAAAAATACATTTTTTTTTGATAATTTATTAAACTTTTTAGTTGCATAGTAACTTTTTTTTCTTATTTTGAAAAATTGACTATAGGAACTGAAATTTGCTATTAGTGAAACAAAAACCATGTTGTATAATTTTTTACGGTAGTCAAGAATCTTTTTTCAAAACTAATTTTGATAATTCTGATAAAAAATTATTTGTTGAGTACGGAAAGAGTTAACTATGGGGCTTTTATCAACTAATTATTAAATATTATAAATCTAATTTTGACTTTTGAATTATAGGTACTCATATTTTCCTCCTAGATGAACACTTGACACATGTTACCTATCAGGCCATACTTATTTGGATTGAAAAAAAGTCAATTGTTAATTTGTTTGCTCATTAATCACACGTTCTGCAGCCACTAAATGTTGGTGTTAATTGTCAAATCAAAAGAGTTTGGAACCAATTACTTCAACAGTTTTAAGCAGAAAAAAAGTTCAGCAGCATTTTAAAGTCAAATGCAGGCAAAAATGTTCAACTCATATCAATAAAATCAAATATACAAGTAACTTCTTGGGTCTTGGATACAAGTAACTTCTTGTTCTTGTTCTATCTTTGGCCCTGGTATTGTTTCTTATTTACATTAGTGATCTTGCTAATAGTCTTATATCTAAAGTGGTTCTACTTCACGATTAGCATAGATCCTGATAATGCCAACCTAGCTGACTCAATAACGCCACTTATAATTACGCAAATGTATCATATGGTTGCACCAAACTCTGGATTTCAGCCTGAATGGTTAACTGGTTAAAGATTTATTGCAGTTTTAGTTTACTTTTTGCTAATTTTTGCTACATATACTTCAAAATGTTTCCGGTTAATGTGATATTCGGTCACATTCAAATACACAAATTCGCACTTAATCAGGCTCCCGTTTAAAACTTGCGGACTGATGAAAACGGCGCTCTATCCGCTCTCCGGCTTCCGACAATCATCAATTGGTGCAATGCTGCACAAACACGAGTAGTTTGTAAACATTAAAAAATGAGTTCCAAACGAAAGAATCAATCAGGTGCTGGTGAAGCTTCTCAATTTTTTCATGGGCAAGATGTTGAAACGCAAAATGCAACAATACAAGCCACTTCAGAAAGGGTAAATTATTCATATTCAGTTTACTTTTTCCCCTGCTTTTTTTCCTAATTTATGCATATTTTACTTTTGATATTTTACAACCATAAAATATTTCTGATCAGAAACGTTACTAAAAGTTATAAATAAAAAATAAAAACTTATTTAATTTTTAATTAAACAAATTTTCATTTTTTAAATTAAATATTTAGCTGTAAAATATCTCACTTAAAATTAGGTTACTATTTAAATTTTTTTAAACTAATTTTCTGAGATTTTTTAACATCATTTTATATTATTATTGTCTTTTTTTGATTTCTTTTTTCATTTATGTCTTTTAGAATTACAACTTAAAACATGATAATATACTTTTAATATATTCTTTTTTTGTATGAGAGTTAGCAGAAAAGTAGTTATTTTACAGTCTAAATTTAATATCTTGTATCAATAAACAGCAACTATAAAAGTTAGCATTAACAGGGGTGACAGTGAACCCTTTTTTAATATTTTTGCATCATATAAGAAAACTGTTAGCCTAATGCTACTTTTTTCTTTTTAACAGAACATTATACTTTTTAACAGAACATTACTTTTTTACTTTTTAACAGAACATTACTTTTTAACAGAACATTATACATATACATTATCCAGCCTTCTGGAAAATTCATAGGCCTGATCACCACTATGCAGTAAATAACTTAATTTTCTAATTTTATACGAGCATATTTGTATTTTTAAACAGGATGAGAATAAACAGCAAATTTATGTGTAAAAGTTTCAAATATATCTATATATCATTGGAAAAAGGCTAAAAATAGTATTACAATAGTGAAAACTTCTTAACAAAATTACTATTCTACATAAAATTATGGAAATTTAAGTATAAAAATTTGGTCATAATAAATTTTGAAAAATCGCTATGTTCTGCATATGAGGTCAATGTTTTCAATGTTGAGTTCATAATCATCTTTTTTTTCATGGCGTTTCACCCTTGTAGGTATGTATTTTTTTTTGAAATAGTCATTTTGATATAACTTTCTTCTCTCTACATTGAAGGAATATTCCTCCACAACTGCTTTAATCTTCTAAATACGCAATATCTAGTTGTTGGCAGAGAATTGAGAGGTGAGAGTTGCATTTGAGAGAATTGTTATTAATTTATTGTCATGTTGAATTGTTGTTTCAATAATTTCAGGAGAAAAACTAGAATCAAGATTATCACCAATCAGCAATGTTGTTTTGATTTTTAAAATAGCAACAGGCAATCTTTATGAGCCATTTACATAGATGAGTTTTTTCCAGAAATTCCTGGAATTCCGGAAATTCACTTTTAATTTTCCAGAAATTTCTGGATGTTTTTTGTTATTAATTTGAAAAAAAAATTTATATATTTTTAGATAAAATTTTAAATGCGACAACTTTTGCATTTAAACAAAAGTTTTCTATAATTAAAATTTTTACGAGATCAATTTTCATAACCATTTTTTTTCTTTTTTTTTTTTTGCTTTTTGATTCATTCAAATTAACTTTTTCAAATATTAGATATTCCTTTTTGTAAAAAGTTAAATATTCTAAATTTTGTTTTAACAGTTTACAAAATTTTTGTTGTCTGTTACTGGGTTATTCATTCCTATATGCGTGTGTTTTCAATTTTATATGCGTTTCATTCTTATATTCTTAAAAAAGCAATAAGAACAAAACAAAAAAATCATTTAAGCATTTTGTTTTGAAAAAACAATTTACTTTTTTCAAAACAAATTTTTCTTATTTCCTGGTAAACGAGGTTAAAATACTTAAAACAAAGACTTTTTACATTGGATGATGGTTTATTTAATTTAGTATCATGTCTTTGTTTAATTTTATTACATTATTAAATTTCTTGATTGATTAAATTATTATTTATCTAATTATTCATTTATATAGATTTAAATTTAATTATTTATAATTATTATTAATATATCTATATAAAAATTTAAAAGCCTATTTATTGTTTATATTAAATTATATTAGAGATTTTATGGGTGATTGACTCGAATATAAACGCGTATATAAAAATGAATAACCCCGTATCAATTTTCAATTAAATAATTTTCCGGGATTTTCCGGGGTTTTCATAGAAAAAAATTTCCGGGATTTTCAAAAAGTCAAATACTCATCTGTGCATCTAGTAAATTTTCGACCATCAAACCACCCATTAAAGGTGATATTATAAACAATTCTAGGTTGTCCATTTAAAATTTTACCCTTGTAAAGATTCTTTGCTTTATAGAAAACCACAAGCAGCAAAAATTCTCCATAGGTTTACAGAAAAAAATTATACTAGTTGACTTGTTTGTTTTGAAATGTTCTTGTTTGTTTACAACATAGTGCCCATGACCACAATAAACAATAACATATTCTACAGGTTTGCCTGAAAAAAATTATACTAGTTGACTTGTTTGTTTTGAAATGTTCTTGTTTGTTTACAACATAGTGCCCATGACCACAATAAACAATAACATATTTGGACCCTGGATTATCTGTTACATTGGTCTCATCAAAATTGCTGAAGTTTTCTGGAGATAAATCTTTAATTTCTTAGAATTGTTAGAACAACTGTTAAGGGTTTTTTCTTTGACTACCAGGCTTTTTATTGATTTAACAAGGCAAAAACTTTTTCCTTATTTTTATATATTATATTTAAGGAAACAGAATCAAAATAACACAATGCTTAGCTTTTTTGTGTGGGTTACTTCATTGTTTAGTATACTTGGTTCTGATGTTCATAATCACCCCATTGTTCATAGAAACCCCTGTTGACTGCACAAGTTGCATATGGCACAGATTTCATAAAATAAATTATATGCAAAAAAAGGTTGTATGGACTTTTTTTCTAGTACTTATAAAAATCTTTCTCTGATGAAAGTACAAATTCATTATTTTGTTGCAAAACATTTAGTTTTATTTAAGGAAATAGCATAGATTACAATTCTACCTACCATTTTGTAAACAAGTTGCAAATTTAAAAAAACTTTGAAGTTTAGATTTTAAATACAGACCAAACTAACTTAAACAAAATTTCACAATTTTGAAAATAATGCCATAAAATGACATCTAACTTTAATTTTATAAAATTAAAATAATGCCATAAAATGACATCTAACTTTAATTTTATAAAATTAAATTTCATTCCCAGATTATTACAAAGACTTGAAGCTAAATCAAACCATGAACACAGGTTTGTTATTATATAATTTAATAAGGTGTTTTTGTAAAGATGTTTTTGTAAAGACTCTTTAACATATTTTATTGGAAAGTGTAAACTTAGAAAATAAGGTGCTCATTATTTACCACACCTGCAAATAGCTAGTCAAAGCAAGGCTTATTTAGCAAATTTATCATGTTTTGTGTTTTATCTACTTTTTTCTCTATTGCACTACAATTACTACAATTTAATAGGCATAAATTTGCTGTTGTTATGTTACTTGATATAAGTTTCTTATCTTTTATCACTTTTGTTTTGAGTTTCAGAACGGTTAAACCTTTTTTGTGGTTTGAAAGAATGAAGTCCATGATTATTTTGAACTTTTCCCACAAAACTATCAGAAAACTTACCTTTTTGCACCAAAGAAATTGGGGTAATTTAAAAACTATTAACCAGTTTTCTAACCAGTTAAAAAACCCTCCTTTTACTTATAGATTTTTGTTTGATTTTGTTTGAGAAAAACATTTACTATTGTAGGTTTTTGTTTGATTTTGTTTGAGAAAAACATTCCAATTTTCCAATAATTTCTGCATAATTTTTTCTCTGAGATCTTTTTTTTTTGTCATTTTAAAAACTAGTTTTAAGTTAAATATGAAAATTAAAACATTTTTTTGAAATCGCTACATCTTTTAAAGCCAATTAAAAATGTATTAGTTTGACCACTGAAAAAAAGGGTGTATTTTTTCATTCACTTTTATTTCATGTACACGGTATATTTATAACAATATAACTTACTTAACTATGTTTTAAGGTACTTGTGAGGGCCAAGCTGTTACAAAACAGTTGTTGTACTGCACTTCTACATTGAGCTCAAAATCATGCAACAATTGTTGTTCAACCCATTTAGAAGCCATTTTGTTTTTAATATTTTTATTACTTGTCAACAATCTCAACGTTTTTACAATAAATTTGTTCACTATATATAGACTCTAGTCAACAATTAGTGGTCATTATACAAAACGTTATAATAATAAAAATATGCAACGTGTGACTTTTGTCAATATTTAGCAAAGCTAGTTATTGACAAATTATTAACGCACATTAAAATCACAACATCTCCCCTAGCTCAACAAGAGCTCATACATAATCATGATACTTCCGGTTAGGAAGTACTCTTCTCCCATAGCGAGTGAACCGAACAGGCTGTGACTCTGTCTCATAATTTGTTGGGTAGTTTTGATCAGCACGATGCATACTATTGTCATCTTCGCTGTCATCCAGGGAATTTATCTGAGAACTTGGATCTTCGATTGCGACGTGTTTTAAGTTCGTTTTAGGAGGTTTAACCAGTGTCGGATTGTAATCGTCATCAATCGTTATATCTTCTTCATTTTTGTCTACACGACAATGCTGCAGATGCGAAAAATGCCATGGCAACGCATGTCCATTGACTTCAACTTCAGCTGTTAAACCATTATGCAGTGCTACTATTCTTCCTTTTAACCATCGCTGTGTACACAGCGTCATATGCTTAGGCTTTACCTACACTTTATCGCCAACTTTCCATCCTTGAAACTTATTCAGAGACTTTTCTGTTAATTCGATTTTGTTGATTCCAGGAATTCGAACGCGTTTGTATTGTTGGCAAAAAATTTCAAAAGGTGTGCCATGTTTTGATGGTACATTGTTGATTAAGAAGACAGACATGGGTATTCCACATTTCGCTCTTGCATTTGTTCTTTTTACTGTCCGATGAACTTTTTCAACAATTCCATTTCCCGATGGTTTTTCAACAGTTCGATAAATAATTCTTATTTCCCACTTTAACGCCATAGCTTGCATAGTCTGAGATCTAAACAACTTAGAATTATCTAGAAGAATTTCGGAAGGAGGTCCAAGCGATGACCATATTGTTTCTAACGATTGAACAACCATTGTTACACTTTCGTCGCTTAATGGTGTCCACAATGTGTATTAATCATACAAGTTATAAATCATACATTTTTGGAGTCTGGTTATTCTTACATAGAATGTGACTTGCATTGTGAATTGCAATGTGAATGTATAGTTATAGGCTATAAAGAAATTTTTAGGGGTTTAAGTGCTAAACATGAAACAAAGAAAGTACCCTTTGAAGTATTTGAGTTAGAATATATCAACATGCTTGATTTTTAAGAATTTGAAAAAAAGTTGTTAAAGAATGAAGAAATGATGAAGAAAAAAATAAAGTTAAATGGCTAAAAATAAAATGTTAATTATTAACTGAATAAATAAACAACTGACACAAAAATTATATTACTGTTGTGCAAGACCAAAAACTAGCATCAGAACTAGCAGCCTTTGAAATTGATTTTTGAAGATTAACCCCTTTCGGCACAGAATATTTCATATAATAAAATTTATAATAAAGAATAACATGGTTAGATGAACTATGATTTCGACAATATATTTTAATGGTATTTCTTATTAATAATTTATTTCCATTTTTAACCATAAAATTTTTCAATTATCTTGTTACATAGACAATATTTTTTTTTATAAATTATCAAAATGGAGACTACAGGCAACAATCGCTGCTCTGGTAAGTTCTTCACCTACAACATTCATATAAAAATTAGATGGAAATATCCATGTCTCTCCATTTATTAAAAAAAGTTAGTTTAGAGTTTTTTCAAACTTGTATGTAATTTTGTTATATATAATTGTATCAGATATGATACAGTATGCGTTAAAAGTTTGTTTATGTAAACATAATTTTATTTATTATTATGCGTATTTTAAAAGTAATCTTTTTGTTTTGAGTTCTGTGAAACTTATTAAATAAAATTAAGTTATAAATTATGTAATATTCAATTATGTATATTTTAATATGGTACTAAGCATTGGCTACTATACTTGGATTTATTAATTTTAACACCAAATATCTATATTCTAATAATATTACAATAATATTAATCTTGATGAAAATAATAGTTTGTTTTGCATTTTTAGCAATAACTACTGATTCATTTTATGGAAAATATTCTACTCACATGGTCATGCCGATGACATGGGTTTTAAAGTGAGGAGGGGGGAACACACAATAGTCAATTTTTATCAAGTCTTATATATCTAGAATTTTCTCAATAATAAAAAAATGGTCATGATACAATTTTAAAAATCATGAAAATCCATATATAGGAGAAAGATTTTTTGTTCACATCAGCAAATTTTGTTTTTGCTCCATAAAATGCACATCGATTTTGATGTGTTAGTTTTTCTCAAAAAAAAAAATGATGCAGAAAGGGGTTAATGTTACAATCTTAAGTTATTTTTCTTTTTTAACCATTAAAACTTGGAAAAAGTACATTCTTATTTCAACACAAGACCTAATTTTTTTAATAACTAGTTACTAGTTACATCTAAGAATAAACTTTATCAATATATACATAATTACTGAAATATCAACTGAAAAAAGTGGTTTGAATAAAGTATTTTTTTCTAAAAAATAAAAATATAGCATTATTAGAAATATTGAAATATGGTGCTGCTAATGTATGTTGAAATAACGTTATCAGCAGCATTACAAGTGTCATGTAACTATCTCAATTGAAAAAATTCAATTGAGATTGTTACAATCTCAATTGAAAGATATGACTGCTTCATAAGCTGAATTAACACTTGCACTGTCACTGTTTTTAGCGTGCTGTTATTGCTGTTGCATCTTGTTTTCCAGGAATTCCAGATCATTTCATTTTTATTCATTGGCTTAGATCCAAACTTTTTAAAAAAGTAAATATTAAATTTTGTATGGATAGTTGCTGCTGCTATTAGTTCTGCATTTATGATGTACTGGTTGAATCTACTATCTGTAGCAGCATCCATGGTTACCAATATTAGCTTACAACAGTGGATTGAGGTGTTGCAAAGAAAAAACTGCATTTACTTTTTTGAAAGTTATTGTAGTTAGATGCAGTTATTCCATGTAAACCTTTTTTTCACACTGCACAATATCTAGCACTTGAGAGAGAAGTTTTATATATGATATTTGATCAAAGTTTATTAGAAAAAAGTCACATTACTATCTTGTAGGACTATCTTTACAGTCAAGAACAATTTCCCATCTACAAGGCATAAAGTCAATTAAATTACCTCAAACATCAACTGAATTTAAGTGAAATACTTCTTTGATTTTTCTGATTAAATTAGCATAATTTTTAAGCTTGTTGCCTAATATTTGACAGTCAACATATGCCTACTCAACATTACTTCACATTACTGAATATTCTCAACTAAGCTACTTGGTTTTTTTAGTTGATTGATCAAAATACAAACTGTATTTTTGAAGAATTCTTGAACCCATTGGCCTTTGTGTTTGAGATTGTTTTACTAATAGTATATATATCCACAAGGTATTTCATCTATTGCATAAGGTAACACAATGCTCCTACATATGTCTTTGTATATTTCTTGATCAATAATTTCAGTATAAATATATAATAGAGCATCAACATACAATCATACATAAATAAATATGATCATACAAACAAAATACTGTGGATCAACACTGTCCTGACTAAAACATCCCAAAATGATTACATTATCTCCATGTTTTACAGCAAGCAGTTGGGATTTAGGATCATATTTTGTACCTAACTTGATTCTATCAATTCTATTAATTTTAACTTGATTCTATATCGATCCAAACTGCATAAAAAGAGTCTTTCACCTATGTTGACTATTCTACTTTAAATGCTGTGATAATTCTTCTCGGGTGTTTCAGTTTTTCAAAGAAATCAATGGATGACATAAACAATGTTTTGTAAAACATTTTTATGAAATGAATTTTAGAAATTCATTTCATAAAAATGTTTTATTTGTTCATTTTAATAAATTGCTGTCAAAGTAGAGTTTTTTGTTGCTTAGTATCACAAGCTTTTTATTCTGAAGTTGTTTTGAGTTTTGATAGTTGATTTTGAAATTGTTTTCTTCCTGATTGCTTTCAAATCTTTGTTGATCATATTCTATCGGCAGACTTACCAGCTCCATAAAACTGTGCTGTATTACTAAACAAATTTTAATTTGAACTATTTTGCTTTACTTTTTTAGTGATAATATACATTTCTCATTTCCCTTGACATCAATCAGTTATACATTTCTTATACCCCTTGACATCAATCAATTATAATTGATTTAAAATTGTGAAAAGCTTCAAATTTTTTTGCAAATTTTTGAGTTCATTAAAAATCATTAATTTTTAAATCAATTGAAGAATGTTAATTAGATCATCAATATTCATTCAAGAGATAATAGTAAACATTCAAGAGATAATAGTAAACATTCAAGAGATAATAGTAAACATTCAAGAGATAATAGTAAACATGAAAATCTTATAATAACATGTTGTAAAAGTAAAGTTCAATTTTATTTAGCCTGTCTGCAAATTTTTGGATGCTGCTATACACGTGTTTATAGTTTATTGCTTTGTATTTTTGTACATTTTTTAAATTTGTTAATTTGATTTTTTTTTAGTATAAGTTTTATCAGGCAATTTAAATTTTTTTTTGATATACTTTGTTTTTATGTACTTAAGTATATAACAATTCCTAACAGTTTGTTTACTCTAGATATTAAAAATACTAATATAAACTACTATATTGAATAATTGTTTTTTTTTAAATTACTTACATTCAACACAATGCCAAATTAAAATTAAAATTAAAAAACAAATTACATTGAAATAAGTTACTGTTTCCTTATCCTAATGTGATTTGAGTTAGATGAGTGATGTGTGGTGCTGATGAGTTGTGATTAAAGCCTTGTTTTGTTGTTGACAATGATTTCTAGTTCAAATATCTTATCTTTTGTTTTGTAATGTCATATGTATTTTTTCAAATACAGGTTATTGACTTGCTCAACCAAGCACAGCTAGCAAATGTTGAAGAAAAACTCAATTATTTAAAACAGGTGATTAATTTTAATTGGGAAGTTTAGATTGAGTTGATGTTTCAATTCTCTCTGATAAAAATAAATGTTGTTTGAACAAACTTCTTTTGTTAGTATTAGTAACCTTAGTATCAGAGTTTCTATAGAATTTCTGTTGTTACTTATAGTCAAAAATTTATACTTTAGGTGCAAGAGTTGATTGTTAACAAGGATCCAACGTTGCTTGATAACTTTCTTGATGTAAGTTTTTACAGTAATCTCTTAAATTCATATACTGAGGATGTCTCTATGGAGGAGAAAAAGTTGAAAAAATATAAAATAGAAATGAACCATAAATATAAACAAAAAAATTTAAATACACTGTGAAAAATACAAATAAAATATGATTGCATGTTGTTTACTCATAAACAGATTTTTTGTTTTTCAGGAAGTTTTGATATTTCAACAAGATCGCCATCATGATATTCGAAAATTTGTCGTTCTTTTTATTGAAGAAACATGGTAACTTTTTAAAAAAATTTTCTTACTTTTTTATTTTCATTTTAGAATTTTATTTTCTAATATTTTATTATTGTATTATTTTTCACTGAATCATTAGTATTAGTTTTTATTTAGTATTAGTAATTTTTAAAGCAATTACTTTATGTCTGCATTACCATTTCTTTAAGTAAAAAAGATCCAGAATTATTGTCTAAAACAGTAGGCTGTTTAACCTATATGCTAGATGACGAGAATATTAGTGTTAGAAAACGCGTTATGCTGGCTTGCAACTCTCTTTACAAAATTGCTCTTCAAGTAGGTGTTTTTTTTTTAATAATAAATAAGTAAATCTTCCTATATATATATATATATATATATATATATATATATATATATATATATATATATATATATATATATATATATATATATATATATATATATATATATATATATATATATATATATATATATATATATATATATATATATATATATATATATATATATATATATATATATATATATAATATATATATATATATATATATATATATATATATATATATATATATATATATATATATATATATATATATATATATATATATATATATATATATATATATATATATATATATATTTATATATATATATATATATATATATATATATATATATATATATATATATATATATATATATATATATATATATATATATATATATATATATATATATATATATATATATATATATATATATATATATATATATATATATATATATATATATATATATTAGGGCTGTTCATGTGAACACAGGAAAAAAAATTTTTTCTCGGATTCGAATGCATAGTTGTTTATTTTGTGCCATAGTAATTGACTGTGTAAAAAATCTTTCCAATCAGATAATGTTTAGGGGGTGCTCAATGACCATAAAGTTTTACGAAAAACGTCAAAAACGTGGAAAAAGTTCCAAAGTTCCAAAAATTTCTAGAACCTGGTTAGTTAGATTTTTTCCACTGAAATATTGTCTGATTGCGTGCTATATAGATTAATTAAAGTGCAGCAGATTAACTGTCATCAGGGCACCAGACTAAAAAATGTCTGCTAGTGTTTAAAACAACTGTGTTTACATCATTTTGTTAAAATTTGTATTCATAATTTTAATACTATTATTTAACTCAATTTAGAATTTGTTCAAACAGAATAAAAAGGTTTACAAGTATAAATATTATTTTTATTTGGAATTTCAGTTTGACAACAAATGTATTAATATTTTGATAGTACCTAACCTTAGTAACCTATTACAGAAAACTAGCATGGTAGTCTGGTAGTGTATTGTTTGTTATTAAGTGCAGATAATAATTTCTAATTTGAAAATATTTATTTAATTTCTTTAGTAATAATTATTGTTATATATTGCTGCAGCTGCATAAACCAACAACTGAATGATAAGTTTGTATAATATGGTATTGAGTTTTGATTTTCTCATAATTTTTCAGTTATCATTGAAATGGCAGCATCATCTTGTGTTGCTATTTCTACACGACTTCAAACCGAAATCTTTTTAATTGGACAACCAGAGCCAAATCTTCCAGATAAAGTTCTTCCCTTAACATCTGATGTTTTAAAAACATTTTTTTATCATCTTAATTCAACCAAAAAGTCAGTGCCTGAAAGTTTTAAAACAACTGTTGATGAACTGATTATTATTTGGAATAAAGCCCGTATTCCGACAGCATTTCATCCGAATGTAGTCTTAAAGTTGAAAACCTTAGTCCAGGAATTTAAATTAATAAAAAAAAATAAATCCAGATTGTCAGATTCTCAGAAATCAAGAGAGAAATCATTTACAGACACCATTGGCCTACTTTTTGACATTGCCCACAAGGATGTTGAAACCATGATCAGAATTGAAGAAGATAAAGAATTTTTATTGGATCAGAGATGTCAGAGAAAAATGGTGATGTTTGGAGAGGACAAAGAACTTTCAAAATTAGAAGCAAGAAATGAAGCAAGGAAACAAGCAGAGAGAGAACGAAAGCTAAAAGAAGAGCAAAGACAATCTGGTGCGAGTGCAATAGTTCCTGTTATTGAACCTTTACATGACGAAAGTTATAGTGATGACAACGATAACGATGCTGTTGATAATGACAAAATGGTTGATAGAGATTTTGAGAAATCCCTGTTTATTACAGACAACAAGTCAGTAAAGCAAGTTCTTCAGGGTCAGCTGAATCAAGTTTAGCAAGTACTCCAAAACGACAATGTATCTTAGATACAATTCTTGACTCGCCTGATGTTTCATCAACATTAGACAGAATTAATTTATCTGACACAAAATTTACTATACTAGCAGCAGCAATTGCAAGGGCTGGTGGACAGAACCTCGATGATGGATCATTGTCACGTTCTACAGTCCGTAGAAAACGAACCTATCATCGATCAAACATTAAAGCCACTGTTTGAACTGAATTCTGCGATTTGGACAAACCACCATTAATCGTCCACTGGGATGGCAAACTGATGATAGATCGTACAAATTCTGCAGACCCTAAAGCAAATGTTGACCGGCTATCTGTAGGTGTGACAGGTCACAATGTTGACAAAATACTTGGAATAGCAAAACTATCAGCTGGAACTGGAGAAGCCCAAGCAAAAGCAGTTATTCATCTGCTTAATTTCTGGGACATAATTGGTGATGTTATTGGAATGAGTTTTGATACTACAGCCTCTAACACTGGCTCCGAAAATGGTGCATGTGTAGTTCTAGAGAAACATATAGGTAGAAATTTGTTATATTTTGCTTGCAGACACCATGTTCATGAGATCATAGTAGCAGGAGTGTTTGGATCACTATTTGGACCATCATCTGGTCCCAACATACCTCTTTTCCAGAGATTTCAGCAATATTGGCCCAAAGTTAATCAAGGAAATTTTAAACCTCTGGATGACATTCGAATGAAAATACCCCTGGTGCAAGAACTACAAAATGAAGTGATGGCATTCCTCAAAGAAAACCTGCATGTTAAAATGCCAAGGGATGACTACAAAGAAATCATTGATCTCTGTCTGTTAATACTTGGAAAACTGCCTGATCAAGAAGAGAAAAATTATCATTTCAAGATCCCTGGTGCTTATCACATGGCTCGCTGGATGGCCAAGGTTATTTATTGTTTTAAGATTTATTTATTTCGTGAAGAGTTCAAGTTGACCACAAAAGAGGAAAAAAATCTCTGTGAATTTTGCTTATTTGCTAGTCTGGTTTATGTAAAATCTTGGATATCATGCCCAAATGCCAGCGATGCTCCAGTTAATGACTTGTTTCTGTTTCAGCAACTTAAG